AAGCCAGTAGCTTTTGGGTAAACAGTGTAATACCTAGCATAATTATGATTAATCTTTGTATAATAGAAACATAACTGCAGATGAGAAGGCAATAATCCTAGCCCACTAGTTCTGCAGCTGTCTCAGGTTAATGGGATGGATTTCACTAAATGCAGTTTATTTTCTGAGATCAGAATGTTTGGATAAATCTGGAGATAAGCTTTAAGAGATATTGATGGTTAAACAGAAAAAGCTAAACTTTCAATTGCCTTAGATATGATGTCTCCTACCCTCATCTCTTTTTTCTATTAGCAATCTTTACTACAAGTTAGAGCTATAGCTGAATTTGCCAGCGAGCAAAGCTATAAGTTCAATATTTAATTAGATAGTTATTTAGTTATCAAAATTATATGGCTGTCTATCTAACAGAAAGTGACTCTGAGCAGCATACAACAATCCAATAAATAAAGATATAGTTATAGAAATATAAAACATTCATTATCTAAAGCCATTATATAATAATCATTAAACAGTATTAAAGACTTTAAAAACAAAACTAAGATAAAAAGAAACTAATAGGCAGACGAATATTAGCAGTAAGGGAGCCACCTTATTAATTAATCTATCTCCTGAAGTCCCCAGGACTGCTGGCATAACCAGGTCTTGAGGGACTTTCAAAAGATCAGGAGTGATGAGGCCCACTTCATCTTGGAATGAGAAGATTCCATAGTGCAGGCAACATGACAGAAAAGGCCCGCCACCTAGGGCACACCAAATGAAATGCCCTAGAGCAGGAGTGTCAAACTGCAGGCCCATGGGCTGGATGTATCACATGGAAGCCACGCCCACCCCAGCAAGGGGAAAAAAGTCACGATATGTCGCGACACGTCACGTGACGCGGTGAGTTTGACACCCCTGCCCTAGAGGATGGAAAATATAATATGCCTGTTCTATTGATTCTGGTCAGAAGGTCAGATGCAATTGGGAAGAGGCGGTTCCTCAAATAATCTGATCCCATGCCATATAGGGCTTTACAAGTCAACACCAGCACCTTGAATTGGACCCAGAAACAAACTATGCAGCTCGCATAGCAAAAATATAATATGTATTCCATCTGAGACACACATAACTGAAGTTTTCAAATACTCCTCATGGATAGTCCCATGTAAAGCACATTGCAATAGTCTAACCAGGAGATGACCAGGGCATGAGTGACTATGAGTAGGGATCTTGATCCAGGAAGAGGTGCACCTGTTGCACAGTACAAAGTTGTACAAAGATCCTCCTAGCCATGATTATCGTCTGCTCATTGAGCAGAAAGCATTCTAAAAAAAACCCAAACCTAAAGCCACTAAATCTTGCCAGGATCCAGTTGAAGTCTATTGTCTCCCATTCAGACTCTCACAGCCTCCAGGCATGAAGACTTCCACAGCATTCACCAGTGGAAGAGTTGTACAATTGGATATTATCAGCATAATGATGTTTATGTTTATGTTTATTTAAATTTGTATACCGCCCTATCTCCCTACGGGACTCAGGGCGGTGAACAGGCGATAATAAAAATCACAATAAATATCTATTCTAAAATCAGATTAAATAAATAAAGGCCTGCTCTAAAATACCCCATATAAAAACCTGTACTAAAACCTAATTAAAACTACGCCAGGCTGGCCGCACGGAATAGATGGGTTTTCAGGGCTCGGCGAAAAAGGCGCAGGTCCGCAGTTGTACGTAGGTTGGGGGGTAGGTCATTCCAGAGGGCAGGAGCTGCCACAGAGAAGGCTCTCCCCCTGGGGGTCGCCAGCCGGCATTGACTGGCCGACAGCACCCTAAGGAGGCCCTCTCTGTGGGAGCGGACTGGTTGAAGGGAGGTATTTGGTAGGAGGCGGTCTTGCAAATACCTAGGTCCACTGCCATGGAGTGCTTTAAAGGTTGTATACTTAATCCCATCTGACAATGAGCTCATTCACAATTTCATTCAATGTTAAATAAGAGAGGGATCCCATAAGAGGGATTGAGAGTGGAATCTCTCCTCCCCAATCCCCACTAACTGGAATTGATCTCGGGAAAAGGAGATGAACCAGCACAACAGTGTGCTACCTAAGCTCAATCCTTTGAGTTGATCTTGAAGAATAACATACTTAAATTAAGCAGTATATGTTCATCTTGGAGGTCTGGAAGCATTTGTTCTAAGGTCTGTTATAGAGTACAATATCTAATTTGTAGTTCTCCAAAATGGTATTCATTTTAGGCATAAACAACATAGTAACAGCAGATCTTATTTAAAGAGCTATGCATGATGATACCTGGTGATATTTATAGTCATTAACTGAGCTTTACAATTTACTGTGTTATGTAATCACAGCCTATAAAATAAATAAACCTAGCAGCAATATGGGGAATTCAAAAGACCATTATGGATCAAGACACATGCCCTTGTCATGCTCAATAAGATTTAAAATTTAGCCTCTTTGTTACAGCTTTTCATTCATTCATCCATTCATTGATTACGTGTCATCAGGTTGGTGTGGACTTTAGTGATCACACAAATAGATTTTTTTCCCATGACAATCCATGCTTGATCCAGCCCTTCAGATCTTCCAATAGTGTACTCATTGCTGATATAACCGAGCCAACCCACCCTGCTGCTGGTCATCCTCTTCTAGTCTTTCCTTTTATCTTTTCCAGCATTAGAGCCTTCTCCAGAGAGCTAGGTCTTTGCATAATCTGTCTAAAGTAGGCTAATTTGAGCCTGCTCATTTGTGCTTCAAATTAAAAATATGGGCTGATTTGTTCAATGATCGATTTCCTTGCTTTCTTGGCTGCCCATGGCATACTTGGGAGTTCAAACAATATTCTTCCTATCCTGCTTTTTCAAAGTCCAGCTTTCACTTCCATAGAGTATCACAGGGAATTCCATTGCTTGCACTATTCTTTGCATGTTTAGACACATCACAGCATCTGAATTATCTTTTCCAAGGCCTTCACAGCTGCTCTACTAATTGCTAGTCTCCAGGGTATTTCTTGACTGTTCCATGTCTGAGCCATTTGCTTTGCATGTTTCTCTGTTGCCACTCAATGCTGCCAAATTCTTTGCCCTTAATCCTTAATCTTATGATGTAGGCAGTGTTTGCTCATTTGTTTATTTGATTTACAACCTATCTTTCCATTCAAGTATGGCCTCAAGGCAACCATCACTAATTAAAATGTGGAATAGAAAAAATACCAAATATGTAAATAAGTGGATTAACTGTTAAAGACCTAGTGAAAGGAATGTAGTCTTTACAATTCTTCAAAATGCTGAGAGAATAAGATCAAACAGTATCCTGGGAAGTACAGTTGCACTGAATGAAAAATGAGAAGGTCCTTCCATAGGTATCAGAAGTGACTCTCTGATGCAGAGCAGCGTCTTCAAAAGGACTTTACCTGCAAATCTCAGTTGCTGTAGGCAGGACCTAAGCCATTTAGGATTTCAACCATTTAAATCTTAAAATTCAAAACTGGAGACTGCTACTGCTCTGGTGAAAGTTCTCTTCCCTTATTGCCAGCCAACTACCCATATATGACAGTAGCAACCAAAGCAGAGTCAGCAATGTTATTTATGATTTGACTGAAATTAATTTACCAAAACAAGATGTTTGGATTATAATCCAAAAGCTATTTTGTGAATTATTACTATTTCATTTTTTTCAGCTTTCATCAATTATACTGGTAGCAATTACAACATGCAAACAAATATAGTACTAAAATACATTGACCCCAAATTTTAAAAATCATATAAAAACAGTAAAACAAAATAAGTGTTCCAGTAATGTAGTATTAAGGTTCCATGTGACAAGATTAAAGGAAAATAGAGTATTATTATACTCTCTCTCTCTCTCTCTCTCTCTCTCTCTCTCTCTCTCTCTCTCTCTCTCTCTCTCTCTCTCACTCACTCACTCACTCACTCACTCACTCGTCTGTCACTTTTGATGAGTCCAAAAGTGAGTTGGTACAAAACTAAGCTTTGGCACTGGGAAGTGTCTGTAGGACTAGATCCTGATATAGTCATAATTTTCTTTGTACTATATTCATTGCAATTGCTCTTTTCACTCTTCATTTTCTGATTCTTGACTTATTTCAGTATGTAGATAACAATAGAATACAGCATCCATTTGAAATATCTCAATCCTTGTTCTCTTCTCTTCCTCCTGTTCTCTTCACATTCCTTGTCCCTAAACAGTTAATTAAATTTAGCAGCATGATAGGAACATCAGTAGGCAGTAGGTGACCTTATAAATGAATATCATGGTGTTAGTCAAGCTGATGAATGGAAGGGGGGGGGAATAAAGGCGGGGAGGGGAGAGGAAGGGAAGAGAAGGGCGAGGTGGAAAGACAAATTTCCTGTTGCCATGGTACTCCATGCAGGATTTGGTTGCTTGTACTACTGTCAGACCAAGATTCCCTAATGGAAGTAAAGTGAGATAGAGATAGACTGAGAGACAGATTCCTTCCCTTCTCATTTTTCTCTCTTTCCTTCCCTTTCTCTCTTTCTGGCCTTAAACAGGATGTTTCCATTTCAAGCATTAGCAAATAAGGCTGTCGACTGAGCTCTTAGTATGTTTGTGTATGTGAATGTGTGTGTGGATCTGCAGAGATTTAAAATCCCATGCATATAATAGTAGAGAGGGAAAGGAGGGGGGAAGTGCCAGCAGCTGCTCATATTGTGGTGACGTCTGCTCCATCACCAGTCAGGGACTCGGTGAAGATATAAGGGACAGCAAAAAATAGAGGGTGAGAGACAATGAGAAACTCCTGTAAATTATAAAAGGAAGCAGGATACTATTCAGCAACTGTTCCTTGGGGACAATCATTTAACAGATTGACTTGCTGCTTCTTTGATTCTCATGCCTTTATTCCTCTATTCTCTGACCATCTCGACATTCCCATCAGATACATCAGGAGTTCTCAAGAGGGCTTTTCCATGCTTGAAATGATTTCTATTGGATGACACAGTTATTTTCTACACCTTTTGCTAAACCATGAAGACTTCTTCTCTTCTGGGATTTCTTATTTGGTGCTTCCATCTCAAACTCCTACAAGCAGCCGAAATCTTCCAACAACAGCAGCAGTCGGCTCCACCCAAAATGAAGGAGTGGATGCCTTCATCTTCATCTTTTTTGGTTTCAGATTTCACATGGGTGCCTACCCTTAATTCGGATAAGGCTGAACCTGAGGGATCAGAGGCAGCAATGGCCTTCCTATACTCTGGAGATGCCCTGAGTCTCTCACAAGTCAACTGTACCCAGAGATTTGAAATGAGGGCTTTAGGGAAGGACTCTCGCCCTCTGCCAGCCTTATATTCCTATCTACGCAGTGCTACTGACACCTTGACCCATGCCACCAATTTCCTCAATATGGTCTTTCAGACTAATGACATTCGTGAATCCAGTGTGAAAGAGGATGTAGAATGGTACCATGCCTTGGTGAGAAGTGTTATAGAAGGGGATTCTCAGGTTTACCGAGCCATATTGACTTTTGATGCTCATCCTTTGTCTTCCAAGCCCCAGATGATACTTCAAGCCACGAAGAGGAATAATGAGATCTTACTTCAAGATCTTTCTGCCTTTTCAGAGAACCTAAGGAATTTGACTTGGGAAAATGAGTGGTACAATTTCTTCCGGTTCCAAAGGATTCCACCACTTTATAAGAGAATTCTTAGCAATGACCTGAAGACGCTAGAAACCCCCAAATGGAGCCAAGGAGATAGTTATGTGATGGATCAGGCTTATATCAAATGGTCATCACCTTTCCTGGAATGTGAAGATGGAAAATTCTTGCCCACCTGGATGGTTACACTCTCCTCTTCATTCTACGGCCTCAAGCCTGACCTCAATCCAGAATTCAAGTGAGTGAAAGAGGATAGTGATAAGGGATGAGATTTTGATCCAAATCACATAGCATACAGGAGATCCAACACTGGATCTTCTCACCTTAGACAAATATAAACAGTTGTTAGGGAACTGGGCAGGGAATAAGTCAGATGGAGAATGTGGAGAGAAAATTTATCCAATACCCTTCTCGGTGGGGCTGAAATTTACTTTACCATCATACATAGACACTAAATACATTTATCACTATCTATTTATTGCTAAAATACATATTCTACTGAGGAGCTCATCAGGATTTGCAAACAGCTGCTTACAAAAATATTGCAGAGTTAAAAAAATTAAACTCCATCTCAGAACCTGCTATTAAAAGTAAGAATAGTAATAACAATAATATGTATTTATATAAGCATTTATATAATATGTATTATATATGTAAAGTACTTTGTTTTCATGGATTAATATTCATTGCTTGCACTTCTGCTGGAATAGTTTAGGTTAATCTCTAAAATAGAAAGGATATGTTCAACTTTTTTAGGGGGGAAGCTGAGCTGTAATGTCTTAAAGGGTTGTACAGTAATGGGTTGTACTTAAACATAATGAGAAAGCATTCAGTGTACATTCAGAGGCAGCTTTTGATTTATCCTATAAAATTTTCCATATTCCAGGATAAATTCATAACAAATGCTATTTCAATGTCTGGAATCTCAATCTATCCTTCACGCTCAGGTTACGAGACTGGCCTGGAAGGGAGAGAAAATATCTTGTATTCAATTTTAGCATTTATTCCTTATTTTAAAGAATATTTAAAATTCTACAGATATTAAAATTTGATATTAAATAAGTATGCTGTTAAGTACTTTACAAGATGGGGTCTTAACTAAGACCCAAGAGCCTAGCTGAAGAAACAAAAGTCCCATCTGGAAGAAGACCCTAAATGAAGAGAGATGGAATGGGCTGTAGCATTTATCAGAAAGGATTTCAGAGGCTACTTATATCTTTTCCTCCCAACACAAGGTACTATTCTACAGAAGTTTCTGTTTACTTCTATTCTACTGATAATTTGTAATTAACAAAGGAGAAAACAGTTGTATATATATATATATATATATATATATATATATATATATATATATATACACACATGACATATAGATGACAACTTTCTTTACTGCTTATCTAGAAGAGATTTTTAGGAGCAATAAGGAACATCCTTTTTCACAAGTCTATTTTGTTATTACCACATTATTCTTTACAAACCTGATCTGTGTGTTCAAAAACTGCTTCAGTCTATTATGTCTGATAAATCCATTTGCACAGAAATAATTTAATCATACTTTACCAACAATTACCATACTTGACTGGATTCAAACTAAAGTATGTTCACACAATAGACTTAAGTGGGTGTCTATCATTGATTGGTTGGTTCACCAAAAGCATAACTATTTTTTTTTAATTAGATATGGAGGAGGTCAGGGAGAAGACTTAAAATGTCCTGAGTCCACAATCTCAATGGTAAATATCTTAGAAACCACCAGTTTAGTGTGGAATGCTAGATTCTGAATTGTTATATACCAAAAATAAATTGTAAGTGGCTGTCAAGGATGATGAAGATGATGTGCTGAGGAAACACACCCTATTATACTCTACAGCATGAGCTTCCTTCTAAGAAGGGTTTTTGTACATATTAAGAAATCTGTACATTTCCCCTCAATTCAGAATTAAAGGGGATATTCCAAGGCTACTTTAGGTTAAAAAAAAAGATGTGTTACATCTTTCGTATAAATAAGAACTAAATTTCTTCAAATTCTGCTGATCTACTGAAAACAGTCCAGAAAGGCTATTTAGAAGTCTAAGCAGATCTTATTTTGAAGGATTATTTTTCATTATAGAATGCTACCATAGCCTATCTGATACAATCTCACAGCCAGTAGAACAGCATGAATGTCCCTACTTTGCAACTGATCTGCTCAAGTCTACAATCACAATCTGTAGAGTTAGCTATAGTTTAATTGTGGCACCGGTCTTGCACTAACAACTAACATATTCAAACAGCTGTCACTGGTTTAGCAAAAAGATAACTGTTAATGTCTTCTGTAAATATCTACTAAAAGATAGTTTTGAGCTAGACACGTTAAATAACTGTGAATGGCTTGAATTAGATTTATTTATTAATTTCTCATAATATCCTAAAGTAGCTGCCTTTCAGGATATTGTGGGAAATACAAGTGTTGATTCCATCCAAGTGGCCTAGAGTTGTTCTGAGGGAGAAAACATGATTGGATGAAAAATATTCCAAGTTCAGATCTCTTGTAGCCCAGGATATGGTAAATCAGTCTGAGACACTGCAAAAGCTGACACTTATTTAACAGTGGTTGTGTCAGTACAAGACACATTGCCATGGTGAGCTGAACTTTGGTTTATTCACTTAACTTTATTTTATAGATTCAGAAGACATTCTGAATTATACGCTAAGCATAATGGCTGGATTAAGACAATATAATAAAATCGGGTTAGCTAGTTGGAGATTCAATATGTCATTATAAATATAATTAATATTGAGGTAGATATTCTGACTTGGTATGAGAGGGCTACAAGATTTGGGCTTCAAAATCCAGATGATCACTTGACAGCAGCAGAGACATACAACACCTGTAACACTTGGCTGCTGTCTTTGCTGCTATTCATGTGAATTTTTGCAACCTCCAAGATATAACAAAATTGCATATGCTCCTTTTTATCAAATAATTCAAAACTGAGATAAGCTTATTAAAAGTACAATAGAATTTTCTTAATTTTTGTTTTATGTGTGTGTATGTATATAATTCTATCTATCTCTCACTGAAACACTGACTACTTCATGTGGGGTGCCCCAGGGCTCTGTTCTGGGCCCAGTGCTCTTCAACATCTTCATCAACGATTTGGACGAGGGGATAGATGGGGAAATCATCAAATTTGCAGACGACACCAAGCTGGCAGGAATAGCCAGCACTCCAGAAGACAAGCTTAAGATACAGGAGGATCTGGACAGACTTGAACACTGGGCACTATCTAACAAAATGAAATTCAATGGTGAAAAAAGTAAGGTTCTACATTTAGGCAAGAAAAACCAAATGTACAGGTATAGTATAGAGGGTACCTTGCTCAATAGTAGTAACTGTGAGAGGGACCTCGGAGTCCTAGTGGACAATCACTTAAATATGAGCCAGCAGTGTGCTGCAGCTGCCAAAAAGGTCAACACAGTGCTGGGCTGCATTAACAGAGGGATAGAATCAAGATCACATGAAGTATTAATACCACTTTAAAATGCCTTGGTAAGGCTACACTTGGAATACTGCATCCAGTTTTGGTCACCACGATGTAAAAAAGATGTTGAGACTCTTATAAGAGTACAGAGAAGAGCAACAAAGATGACTGGAAGCTAAAGCATATAAGGAAAGGCTGCTGGAATTGGGTTTGGCTAGTTTAATGAAGAGAAGGATGAGGGGGGACATGATAGCAGTGTTCCAATATCTCAGGGCTGCCACAGAGAAGAGGGAGTCAAGCTATTTCCAAGGCGCCTGAAGGCAGGACAAGAAGCAACGGATGGAAACTAATCAAGGAGAGAAGCAACCTAGAACTAAGGAGAAATTTCCTGATAGTTAGAACAATTAACCAGTGGAACAACCTGCCTCCAGAAGTGGTGAATGCTCCAACACTGGAAGTTTTTAAGAAGAGACTGGACAGCCATTTATCTGAAATGGTATAGGATTTCCTGCCTGAGCAGGGGTTGGACTAGATGACCTCCAAGGTCCCTTCCAACTTTATCATCATCATCATCATCATCATCATCATCATCATCATCATCATCATCATTATCATTATTATTATTATTATTATTATTATTATTACATTGTGACACATTAAGTCATGTAGATTGGCTTACCATGTTTTTCAGATCCATGAGTCCCATAATCATGATCTGGAGCTGTGGCTACTTAGACCAGTTAATCTAATCATACTATGGCATGCCACATTCAAGGATAATAGATGATTAAGCTGACATTATTCTTCCAGAAAAACAGGGAAGCTGAGCTATTATTTTCAATGAAATGTATGTAATCAGGCCTTGTTTTGAGAAACAGGGTCAGGAGAAAGTGTATTAACTCTCTTGCCATCCTTCTCACTTGAGCCTTTACAGACTATATTGTTTGTTCAATAAACAAATTAGGAAGTGCACAACTGGGCAACAACAGGCAGTAAGGTGCTAGTGGAATGATTAATTTGATCACCTTTGGGATGATCAGCAGGTTAATCCTAGATTTAAAACAAACATGAGTTAATATATTAGACTTGCTGCATTCTGGTGGTTAATGCGTGTAATTTACAAATTAGGCAGGGTTGAAAAGATCTCTACAAATGATACCAGCTCTGACCATACCATGCCAAAAATAGGCAAATGCTAAAAACAATTTCTTTTCCCACTTATCCCATGAATTTAAGAGCCAGGTGAAGCAGATGGTGGGGAGACTGGTATTTGTGAAATGATATTTTAGATCCTTTATTCAGGATTGATCTTGTAGTAACAAAATGAGGAGAGAGAATAAGGAAGGCAAACATCTTGTCACGAAAAAGTGTTCTGAATTTTATTTCTATCAACTCTCCTATGAGAAGAGTCCCTGCTTTTTTAAAATTGTTACTTTATTTTAAAAAATGTATTTTTAGTTTAGGATTATTGACACAATCTTAAACAGTTTTGATAAATTTGTATTTGGAATGACATGTTGTAACCAAACAACAATAATGCTACTAATAATGCAGTCAATATGTTTCAGAAAAACATATTGGCTGCATTCTTATACACTTATCTATTGGTAATAATTACAATTTATAGAGTTACTCTAATGCAATTGCATAAGTTTACATAATACAGCAAACAGAGACTAATGTCATGGACTGATCTATACAAAATGCTGTAGGCTAAAATCTGTTTGCTCATTTTATGATTCAACGGGAGAATTTGTATTTCATATTGAATTACAAATTAAATACAGGTAGGTTTTGATTTATTACAATAATTCAACCTGAAATTGTTGTCACTAAGTGAACCAGTCATAAAGGATGATATCACATGACTGCACTGCTTAGTAAGGACTCTGTATGTGACTCTGACTTTTGAATTCCTGCCAGCTTCCCCATTGACTTTGCTTGTTGGAAGCCAGCAGGGGAGGTTGACAATTGCAATCATTTGACTGTGGCTTGCTGTGACATAGCATTTGTGAACTGCATGCTAAGCATCTCGAACACAATCTCATGACCGTGAGGATGCTGCAATGGCCAGAACTGCTGTAAATTTAAATAGTTGCTGAATGAGTGATCATAATCCAAGGACCCTCTTTACTGCATGTTAGCATCATTTGAATTTGAATAAATTGAGCCTCTATAGTTAGATTAAAATTCATTGCAAATCTCCCCCCCCCCCGATTATTTGGTAGCACAAGAAAGCATATTTTATAAATACAGCCAGGGTACTGTACAGAGACAACGTGGTTTGCTGAGTTTTATCTTACTTATTTATTAAATTATGGCCATCCATCTTTCTTGATGACTTTGGGAGGTTAACAGTTAAAAACAATGTTGTGAACAATAAAATAAAACTATAAATGAAATAAAGTAGCCTAACAAATATCCATTGCAGGTTCCAGAGCTAAGAAACAGATACAGACACAGCATCAGGACCCAGGCTAGATAGTAAAACCAAGTCTTCAAAATGTTATGAAAAGCCATCAGGGTTAGAGCAAATCTGATCTCTTGGGTAGAATCATGTCTTGTGGCTCTTTCCTGAGTCCATCAGAGATAGGATTCAGAGAATGACTTTTCTGCCAACTCTAATAGGAAAGATAAATCCAACTGGGGAGAGAAGTTTTCAGAAGTAACCCAATTCCAGATCATGAAGGGCTTTAAAGTAATTACCAGCAAGCTGAGTTCTACCTGGAAGCTTTGTAGTAACCAGTGCAGTTCATGGAACAGAGGTGTCCCATGTGCTGAATAATGATGCCTATAAGTGCCCACACCACTATAGTTTACCCCAGCTAAAACTTCCAAATATTCTTCAACGGCAACCCCATGTACAGCATATAGCAGTAATTCAAACAAGAGGTGACTAGGGCATGAGTGACTTTGAGCAGTGCCTTTCAGTCCAGGAAAGGCACAATTGATACACTGCCACCTGCTCTTCAATTAGTAGTTGTGAATCCAGAAGAACCCCAAATTGTGTACATGATCTGCCAGGAGCAGTGCAATCCCATCTAAAACAACAGATGGAAAGTCCCCAAAATCAGGAGGTCTTAAAACCCAAAACCACTTGGTCTTTATAGGATTGAACTGAAGCCTGTTGTTCTCCTTCCAGACCTGCACAGCTTCCAGACACCAAGGCAGGACTCCACAGCATCACTCAGACAGCACATGTTAGAGATTATAATTAAGTATCATCAAACTACTGATGAAATCTCTCATCCATAGTTAAATCATTGTTTGGTATGAAATGTGATCCCAATCATAGACTTGTTGTCATAGATCATTTATTTAATATACAAATTGGCCTTTGATGAATTGTTGCTTTTTGAGATCACACACGTTCATACAAATAATAGAACCAATTTGATTTGAATATAAAACAATTCTCTAGGTTTGCAACAGCTTATGAAATCATCAGTCAGGATATATAAATTACAGGGTTAATCTGTTAGAAAAACACATTATAGCGTCACAACATATGGACCCTTTAAACATCTTTACATGATGCAATAGGCCAGTGTGAAAGAATGCACCTACTATACTGTACTGCCGTTCTACTTTCTGTAGCTAGTCACTCTTTAAGAGTATCCTGTATTTTTACGCTTTTACTCTCTGCCTTGCTGAAGGTCTTATCCATGTGCATCAGTGAAGCTGCTGTGCCCTGATATAATGCAAAGAAAGAATCTGAAGGCAGGGAGAAGGCAAGAAAGGAAGCCAAGTTGCTAATATAAAGTTGTCAACTTTTTCTGTGTCATACTGGGGTTTTTCCTCTAAAGAGTTGAATATACTTATTTGGTGATCATGGGAATAATTGATGCTAGGTTACAAAATCTGAGGGCTAGTGAAGCTCCATCCCAAATTCTGTGTATTGACTTCACTTTTCTAATTTAAAGCAGCAGCAGTATTAAAGATGTATTGTATATAGTTAGGATCAATTCCATGCTTTCCCATTCAGTAAATGTTTCAGCCCCTTCTCTTTGTCTTCTCTTATTTCTGCTATCTCCTCAGATAGGATATTATTTTGCTCATGCACATGGATTGTTCATCAGAGCAATTCTTAATACATTCCAGCCAATGGCAATGCCATCTGCAGTGATTATATGGTTCCATATAATCAAGTATTAGAATTGTTGAATTCCTTCTCTCCCAAAACATGCTAAAATCATCACCTTATCTGTTCCAGAGGGGTCATGAGGCTGGATGTTAAAATTCAAAATGTTGATATAAACCAGTGTGCCACTAACGAAGGATGGTTTGCAAACACACATCAGTGTGACCTCAACAGCACCCAGGTAAGGAGAGCTTTGGAGCTCTGCTCCCAGCTATATTATCATGTCAGATTGTGAACTGGAGGGTCTTCCCTATTATTGTGCAATCCTCTGGAACCATCTTTCCAGACATCCCTATATAAACATCCCTATATTGGTGATGGAAAAGGTGTGTTTTCCAGATGTTACTGAACTACATATTCCAGGTGCCCCAGACAATGGCCATAACATTGAAGGATGGCCAGTTTCATTTTAGCAGCATCTGGAGGACAGATGTTCCCAGTCCCATCTAATGTTCTTATTTAGAATTGTGATGTAATAGAGCTATGTATACTTTAAAAATAATTCAGAAAAAGGACTTTGAACTCCACATGAGCACAGGCCCAGTACTTAATTGCTGAGCTTATATAGTGTTTTGTTGTTGTTGTTTACAGGTAGTCCTTGACATATGATGGTAATTGAACCTGGCAATTACAGTCATAAGTAGTGATGATCATAAAACAGGTCATTATGTGACTGTGGGATGCTGCAAACTTCCATAAATGTGGGGTGGTTGCTGAGCATTCATAATGCATCCCTATGACTGAGGGGGGTGGACACTGTAACACTGGACTATAAGTAGCTTTTAGGAGGGTCCATCATAACTTTGTATGGTCACTAAATGACAACTAATGTGAGGAATATTTATATATCTCTATCTCTATGTATTACTTTAAATAGATATAGATAGATAGATAGATAGATAGATAGATAGATAGATAGATAGATAGATAGATAGATAGATAGATAGGTATTCAGATTTTTATAGACTAAAACACAAATCAAAAGAAAAAAGAAAATATATAAAGAAAAAGATGCAAGAAACAAAAAAGAGAATGAAAACTATAAAGAAATGTTATGACTTGCAATCTTCTTTTCAACAGATAGTTACAAATTTATAATCCCTCCTCCCTCTTAGATATTACACAAATCCTTTCAGCCTCTCACAATCTACATCTTCCTAAATCTTCAAGCCCATAAATCACCATGACATTTCTTTCATCTTTCAACAAAAAAATCCATACAGCATAAGGTCTCCAGTCTTTTAGAAAACTTGTGGGTTTTTTTTCCTCTGTCCAGGCAGGTCAGTTTTGCCAGTTGTAAGAATTATGATACTTTCACAATCCATTGCTCCAACTACGGGGATTTCATTATTCTTCCTTGGGTTTTGTGGTGCTTTTGAGAAGGAGGAAGAATGATTGTTGCACTTGCCTTCAACTCACTAAACCAGGGGTAAACCTGGCTCAGGAATTCTGGGAGTTGAAGTCCACAATTCATAAAAGAACCAAGGTTGCCTACCCCTGCATTAAACCAATCCCATATTTACAGAGATGACTGTTCCTGCCCTCTTAGTTCCCATCCTGCATAATTTGAAGCACTATACAGCTGTCTGCTGTTCATTAAAGAATCCTGCCACTTCTCAAGCTTCCAAGGGAGTCTGGGGAAAAAACTTGTAGCTGCATTAAGGAATTCACTCATTAATGTTAATAGCCTAAACTGCATGAATGTACTGTGCAAATATGTAGAGTAGCCATCAAGAAACTGCTCTCTTCAGAGTAGACAGGAGAGAATTAACTGAATTCATGAAAAAGAAGTAGAACAGTGCCTTAGATCATTTTTTCAGAACCTTGGCAACTTTAACACGAGTGTTACGAAGTCTGCTTGTGATGGGTGGGGGAATTTTGGGAACCAAAGTCCACACATATTAAAAGTTGCTGAAGTTGCATAACACTATCTTACATAAGGAACATTTCTTTTCAAGTTAACCCTAATTTTACATCTATAAAGGTGTTATATTTAGAGAAGTATAACTCCTTGCTGATATTCATAAATTCTGCCTTCATTATTAAAAGAAATATTAATGGGTGTGGTAATTTGCCATTTTTACAATGTATTTGTCTAGCAATTGTTTTAAAAATTCAATTTTTTTTCATTTTCACTGATCTTATGATTTAAAATTCTTTGCAAAAGTAATTTCCACTTTAAAACTGAAAGCTTCATTTCATTGATTGTGGATGATATCATTATTTGCAAAAGTTCAATTTAAAATTGGAATATTTTCTTTTGGAATCAAGTGAGATTTTCTGCAGAGTTTACTCTAACATTCTAACATTGTTAGGAGGCTAGTTTTCTTGGATTTCTGTTTAGCCTTCCCGTCTCTTTCTTTCTCTGAGCAAGCTATACTGCCTGGCTAGCACCGTCCCAGTCAGCATGACTTTTCTTCCTCCATTATTGCCTTCTTCACAATCTTTTTCTGCATCCCTGCTTGGTCTGTTTCTTTCCCTTTTCCTCTAACCTCCCCACATCGTCCATCCCCACGCATCTCACTGCTGACACATCTGCCACCTTCAGCTGTTCTGTACGTTTGCAGCCCAGTAATGGGCATATCAGCACTGAAGCATTTTCTTGTGTGTGTGAGACTGTATGTGTGTTTTATTACGAGCAGTGAATACAACTTGCAATGAATATTGATGGGCTAGGTCCTTGCTTTTAGACTTTAAAGTTGGATTTTTACACAGCTGTTTCTAACATGGTAAAAACAATGTTGCATTTTCTTCCAGGCTTGCAGACCAGTTAAACATAAAGAAAGGAGTGGGGTGGGTTACAGAGTTTTTTAAAATGAAAGCAACAGTTTAGTTTTCACTGAGGTAATAAAACCTTGAGCCAGATACGTTGTCACCTGCAAATCTTTTAGGCATCTCCAAAGTTTGCCATGATTGAAGGATTTCTTGTAGTCAGTAAAGCAGATGAAGATATTCTTTTGATATTCTTGAGATTTTCTCATGATCAAGCATAGGTCTGCAATATAGTCACGACTGCCATGACCCCTTCTGAAGCCAACTTGAACATCTGGTAATTTCCTTTTGATGATCAGCACAGGTTGTTACATGGTTTTAAGGAGAAACTTGCTAGTGTGAGAAATGAGGGCAATTGTACAGTAATTGGAGGAACGCTTGGAGTTGCCCTTTTTGGCATTGGAATGAATGCTGGTCATTTCCTGCCCTCTGGCTTTATATTTGTTTCCCAAATTTTCTGGCACAAAGCTGTAAAGATTGTAGTAGTACAGGTTTCAGCAATTCTACACAGGGATGGCATCAACAGCTGGGGGCTTTGTTGTTCGGCGGTTGGCTTATTGCCCACACAACTTCCTTGGCTGGTTCTATTTTCAGCTTCCCTTTCTTCATCCTCCTGGAGAAGCTGGACTTCTTTGTTGCTGGCCTACAACTCTTCTGTATATTGTTGCCATCTGTTCTTTACACTTTGGTCGGATACTGTAGTTCTACCCCTTGATTATTTTTGATGATGCTTTTATGAGCAGTAAATAGTGTTTGAATCCTTTTGACTTACACAAATGCATTCCTTATGTTGCCCTTCATGCAATGCTCTTCTAGCTGCTTGCAACACGGGAGGCAATTGTCTTTCCCGGCTATTTCTTGGAAATCTGCATTCATACACAAGAGCCTGAGAAACTTATCAAGGGACTATGAGCAGCTAGGCAAAAAGGCAAGCGATTAGGAGCACAGGTGGTGTTAACACCCAATGAGGGAATGAAGACTTTAGAGATTAACTGCTGCTGGCTCTGGAAATGCTGCCCTCAAGAGAACTTTTGATTTCTGTATCATGGTTTACTTTACCTACAAGAAAGGCTTCTGGCATCTCCCAAAGATTGGGAAGAATGTGTTTGGGAAACAGCTAGCTCAGCTCAGCCATAGATCTTTAAACTAAAACTGGAGGGAGAAGGAGACCAATTTTTAGCATGAATCCCAAGACAACAAATCAGACAAAGAGGAAGGAGGTGATGAGAAGCAAGGGACACTCAAGTATACTATAGGAGATGCAGGAAGCAAACACAGGGTCAGTCATAAAGGGCTCAGATGCCTGTACACTAGTGCTCAATGTATGGGGAATAAACAGGGAGAACTTGAGATCCTAGTACATGGAGTGCAAGTATGATATTGTAGCTATTACTGAAACTTGATTGGATGGAATCCATGATTGGAACATATTGCTAAAAGGATATAAATTGTTCAAATGAAACAGACTCAACAAAAGAGGGAGAGGAGTTGCCTTTATGTAAAGAAGTACTATATCTCTATAGAGAGCAATGGGTGGAAGCTTATCAGAGGGAGATTCAACCTGGAAATAAGGAGGAGGTTCCTGACAATAAGAACAATTAATCAATGGAGCAGCTTGCCTCCCAGAGTTGTTGGTGCTCCATCACTGAAGGTTTTTAAGAAAAGATTGGGCAGCCATTTGTCTGGGATGGTATAAGGACTGCTGCCTTGGGAAGGGGGTTGGACTATATGACCTCCAAGGTCCCTTCCAGCCATGTGAATCTATTATTCTATGACTCTTTGCTCCTTCCAATTTGTCTGCTGAGAAGGGGGGAAACAGTTTAGTCTGGAGTTCTGATCACATTAAACTACCAGAAGACATTGCATAGACCTTTTTTTTCTATGAAATAATCGGAAAAGGCAAAATCTTGATCCAATACGGACTGTGGCTTAATGCATGGGTCCCCAACCCTGGTCCATGGACCAGTACCGGGCCACGGCATGTCAGCAACTGGGCCACACAAACAAGCAAAGTCCCATCCATGGGATGCAGGCAGCACACAAAACCATGCCCCTTCCAGTCCGCGGAAAAATCTCTCTCCACATAACCGGTCCCTGGTGCCTAAAAGATTGGGGACCTCTGACTTAATGTATCTTCTGGTTCTTTAAGTATTCAGTATGTATTCAGTAGTAATGTTAGCTTTTCTTTTGGCTATAGTTGCTTCTCAGGGGATTAGTATACTCTGTAGCATTAGTGATCCATTTAGGTTTTAGGAAAAGGGGATTTGGTCATCCAACATTTGGTTAGTGTAATGCTTAAATATTCAGCCACGGATGTCCAGAGAAGGAGGAGGGAATCAAGCTGAGCCAGCTAGAGAAAGAAAGCAAATAAAGAGTGCTTTACACAAAACTCAAGACACTTGCTCCTAA